CAGCCATTGGTAGGATTTACTGATATCAGCCACTTGGGTTATTTGCTGGTGGTACATCCCATGTAGGGGTTTGTCCTCCCATGATGGTATCTCTGGCACCTCAACCTCCGTTCCCTGTTGTCTGAGACATTCACTGAGCACATTGTCTGTTGAGGCTTTGTCTCTGATGTATTTATGGATCTTAGTTGTTTCGTCCTGGACAGTGGTTCTCACACTCACTAGTCCTCTGCCTCCTTCCTTGCGGCTCGTGTACAGTCTCAGGGTGCTGGATTTGGGATGGAACCCTCCATGCATTGTTAGTAGCTTCTGGTCTTAATATCTGTGGCTTTTATCTCCTCCTTTGGCCAGCTAATTATTCCAGCAGGGTATCTGATTACTGGCAAGGCATAGCTGTTTATCGCACGGATTTTGTTCTTGCCATTGAGCTGGCTTCTCAGGACTTGCCTTATTCGTTGGAGGTATTTAGCTGTGGCTCCTTTCCTTGTGACCTCATCGAGGTTGCCATTTGCTTGTGGTATACCTAGGTACTTGTAACTGTCCTCTATGTCTGCTATTGTTCCTTCTGGGAGTGAGACCCTTCTGTGTGGATGACCTTCCCCCTCTTTGTGACCAGCCGACCACATTTCTCTAGTCCGAATGACATCCCAATGTCAGTGCTGTAGATCCTGGTGGTGTGGATCAGTGAGTCGATGTCTCGCTCACACTTGGCGTACAGCTTGATGTCATCCATGTAGAGGAGGTGACTGATGTTGGCCCCATTTTTGAGTCGGTATCCGTAGCCAGTCTTGTTGATAATTTGGCTGAGGGGGTTCAGGCCTATGCAGAACAGTAGCGGGGACAGAGCATCTCCTTGGTATATGCCACATTTGATGGACACTTGTGCAAGTGGTTTGCAGTTGGCTTCAAGGGTGGTTTTCCACAGCCTCATCGAGTTTGCAATGAAGGCTCTCAGAGTCCTGTTGATGTTATACATCTCTAAGCATTCAATGATCCAAGTATGCGGCATTGAGTCATAGGCTTTCTTGTAATCAATCCAAGCCATGCACAGGTTGGTGTGTCGGGTTTTGCAGTCTCGGGCAACTGTGCGGTCTACGAGGAGTTGGTGTTTGGCTCCTCTGCTATTTACACCGATACCCTTCTGTGCCGTGCTCATGTGTTTATTCATGTGTTTGCTTATCTTGGCCGCTATGATGCCTGACATGAGCTTCCAGGTTGTGGAGAGGCAGGTTATTGGTCGGTAGTTGGGTGGGACTGGACCCTTTGATGGATCCTTCTGGATTAGGATTGTCCGCCCTTCAGTTAACCATTCAGGGTGAGTCCCACTTTGTAGCAGCTGGTTCATTTGGGCTGCCATTCTCATGGAGAGCAGTGAGTTTCTTTAGCCAGTAGGCATGGATCATGTCAGGCCCTGGTGCTGTCCAGTTTTTCATACCTGAGACTCTTTCTTGGACATCTGTCACAGTGATGGTTACCGGGGCTTGCTCAGGGAGGTTGCTGTGGTCCTCTCGTAGAGAGATCAGCCACTGTGCATTGCTGTTGTGGGACGCCTCCCTTTCCCATATGCCTTTCCAGTATTGTTCCGTCTCCAGCCTTGGTGGGTCTGCTCTGTTGTTATTGTTACCCTGCCATTGAGAGTACACCTTAGCTGGTTGAGTGGAGAAGAGCCGGTTAATCCTTCTGGATTCATTCTCCCTTGTGTATCTCTTTAGGCGGCTGGACAAGGCTTGGAGCCTCTGTTTGGCAGTCTCGAGTGCTTCAGGTATGGGCATCTGCCTGTACTTTCTGGGTACTTTTCATTGCACCCTTGTGGAGCTCTGACAGTTGGCTCACTTCCCTCCTTGTTACCTTGATTTTAGCCTCTAACCGTCTTTTCCATGGTGGGTATTGGGTCTCATGGTTGCTCTTATAGCCAAGTATCTCAAGGATCACTGATGCTGAGTTGTAGATCAGCTCATTGGTTTCTGTTATGGTGTTGGTAGGGATCGTTCTCAATGCTGCATTCACATTCTCAATGAGACTTTCTGATGGTACTTCACTCAGCCGTTGTAATTGGCGCCGGGAGGCCTGGTTGTCATTCGGGTCATGATTCTCTCTCTCAGGTCAGCAGCTGTCTCGTTCAGCTCTGTTTCGCTCATTGGGGCCGTGTATCCCCTCACTGGGTGGGGACTTGTAGTTAAGTCCCCACAGTCCTGACATCCGGGTTCCTCCCTTTTGCCGTAGCATTTGTGTTGTATCTCGTCAATCTCAAGTTGTGATAGCAGTTGCCGTTTGCGGATGTTGGAACACTGAGCTACTAGTTGTTTAGTGCTTAGTGTTGACTGGGGATGTCGAAGTAACCATTCCTTCCCCAGTCTTTGCATGTAACCTCTCTCACTAGGGTTACTTGAGTAGTAGCATTCCAACAGATCCACATTTTCATCTCTCGCCCATTTCCGTCTTGTTCCAGTAGCCCATTTGTCATCAAGGTGCTCTGGTTCCCCAACACCTGACGCAGACCTTGTTTGGCCGGGCGACGTCTGAGCCGGCATGTTATGCAACTTAGTATCTCTCATGGTATGAGGTAGGAAGTAGCTTGAAGGGTCTTGCCTAAGGACCCAGACTGGATTCGAACCCTGCCCTCTCGGGTGATATACTGATGCCTTATGTATTGAGCTATCCAGTCAGCTATATATATATATATATATATATATATATATATATATATATATATATATATATATATACATATATATTATATATATATATATATATATATATATATATATATATATATATATATATATATATATATATATATATATATATATATATATTATATATATATATATATATATATATATATATATATATATACATGGATTGTCAGTCAGACTGTACCCATCTCTCATCTGTTGACAGCTGGAGATGGGCACCAGCACCCCTCCAAACCCCAATGGGATGAGGGTGTAAGAAGATGGATGGATGGGTGGATGGATGGATGGATGGATGGATGGATGGATGGATGGATGGATGGATGGATGGATGGATGGATGGATGGATGGATGGATGGATGGATGGATGGATGGATGGATGGATGGTTGGGTGGATGGATGGATGGGTGGTGGGTGGATGGATGGATGGATGGGTGGGTGGATGGGTGGATGGATGGATGGGTGGGTGGATGTATTCTATACATAAAAAAACATTTTTTTAGGTCTATTCATCCATCCAATCTGCAGAAGATGCTCAATTGAACTACTTAGAATACTATTCTGCTAGGCATGGAGTCTTTCTTCTCTGTGACCAAACAGTGGAGTCCTATCTGTGAACACTTCCTATAGATTTGGTGCAAAGTGCAGCACCTGTTGGCTGGGTCTGCAACTCCAGTCCTCGAGTCCCACTGTCCCGCAACTTTTGGATTGATTTCTGCTCCAAACCATCTGACTGAAATAGCTGAATTGTGTCAATTGATTTGATTTAGAAGTTTTGCAAAGATCTGGTCATTAACCATTCATTTGATTTAGATTCCTGTCCTACTGGAATTAAGCTACACTTTCTGCCAACAACAAAACAGCTCTTGTGTTTGTTTCACAAAGACAGTGTCGTTTTTAAATGCATCTCTGGCACACTATACTCCCACAGCACACACCCTACAAAATACTTTGGAGGACATAATTGTAAGAGTTGTCCATACTAATATTTGGTCCTGTCTTCCAAAGCCAGAATGAGAGCCACTTCACTCCCTCTAAACATACTAACCTAGTTATATTATTTTATGTTTCAATCTTCTTTTTTAACTTAGGAAAAATGGAAAAAGTCAGGTTTCTTTAGCCTGATCTTAAAATGAAATACAGCTTTCCAGTAAATACAAAACAAAACCAACAAACAAAAACTATACCCAGAGTCATGCAATCAGATTTGGTAAATACGTTGTTGTGGTGATCTTAGAGAAGAAGTAACATTTTTTTCTTCCTAAAATGAAAGTATGATTACTTTGACATTTGTGGTCACTGGTTTGCAGGCAGCTCTCCTCTGTTTGCAGGTCGACAATAACACACGTCCAGCTGGCAGTCTGAGCACTTCATGCTTTAGGTTAGCTGTGTGCTAATCACATGTCTGCTGACAGGTTCAACATGGTTTTTCTTTTTACATTAATTTGTAAGCTGGGGTACATGGAAACACAATGAAAGCACATAGGCACCATGCTGCCTCCATGCACACCAGGAGCCTATATATATTACACAGACACATGCTCATGCATATGCACGGAGCACAGAGGGAAAAAAAACATACAAACAGAGAACCATTGTGTTAGAAAATGTCAAATCCGCTCACTTTCCCTCGAGGTTCAGTGTCAGATGAGATTTTGTTTCTTTGCTGAACACTGCACAGTTGGTCCCGGCGTGATTTCGGCTGCAAGTGTGTGAGATTGAGAGCTACAGAGAAGAGGGGCAGTGATGAGATATGTTGCATAAGGGGGTGCAGTGGAGTGTGAAAGAGAACAGGTGGCTCCTTTTTCTGCCATCTAGCTTTATGTGCCATCTTCCCTATTGTGTCTCTGTGTGTGTGCGTGCGTGTGTGTGTGTGATAAACAGTGCGAGCCCATTGCCTTGTGAGTTAGGATTTATTATGTTACCTTAATAACATATCTCCATAAATGTGCTGCCATGTTCTGCTTCTCTTTGAAGGTGTAGGTTTGCTTGTTGCAGAGCTATGGTTGGTTTAGAAACAATTAGATGAGACAACAGAGGTCCAAAGAGATGATTCTCCAAATGTCATCCAATTAACAACCTATCGTGAACACAGGACAGAACTCTCTCATGTTGTCTGTCTCTTCATTTCTCTCTGTCTGACTGTTTTGTTCTCAAATAATCTCTACTCTCCTGAGACAGACCTGTTCGGTGACTAACATTTGAAAAATGGCAGGTTGTGTCACACACTCGCTGCCAAAAAGAGCAGAGTGAGTTGCTCTCAGTGAAGTCTCTCTGATATCTGTCTGTTTTCCTGTACTCCTCTTTCAGATCAGCCTTCCAGGCCGGTGGTCCGGACTCGGCAACAGCAACATCAGCCTCGCTCCAAGGGAGCGAAGGGTGGTGCGGGGAGCGTCAGTGGCACAAGGAGGGGACCACTATAACCAACACCACCCCTACCACTGTCGGCCCACTGCTGCTGCGGAGCGCCACGCTGCCAGGGAGGAGCGCCACCACCAGGGAGCTGGGAACACTTCTGGCAATCTGGCTTCTGGCTCCTCTGACCCGTCCTCCGTCCAGATCTCATCCACCGCACCAGCCCAGACCAGTACATATCAGCCCCCGTGTCCCACCTCAGCTTCACCTCCTTTATCCAAGCAGCCTGAGAGGGTGTCCTCCTCCTCTGAGTCCTTAACTCCAGGAGGAGGAGGAGGAAGTGGAGCGAGTCTGTCCGGTGGGGTGAAGAGAGGAGGCGGGGATCACCATCCACCAAGCCTAATCCCTCGTGCAGTCGGGGCCAGCGCTTCTTCGAGCCTCCACAGCCTCGCAAGCAGAGGGAGCTCCACACAAAATATCTCGTCATCAGACCGGGCCTCGCCAACACCTCCCACACCTTCGTCAGCTTCCTCCTCTTCCTCCTCCTCCTCCGCGTTCACCGGCCGATTAGGACAACCACCTCGCGGCCCTCTGTCTCTGCATAGCTATAGCCGGAAAAACGTCTTCCTCCAGCATTCCCTGCACACGGCCGAACTGCAAGCCCTCACACAGAGAGACAGTTGAGGATGCCAAAAAAAAAAACAACCAGCCATAAGCAGCCATATCATCAGCTTAAGTTATCATAAGGGTTCATATTTAGGAGAAAACATTTCTGCTGCTTGCGTTATAGTCGCGCCAAAGTCACCCTTAAAAAAATAAAAAAATAAATAAAAATCCCTCCTCCCATTGCGCTTACAATCACTTTGCAATCCAGACCAGCCCTTGATTCACTTGTTTAGAAATCTGCTTGATTTTACACATGCTCACACACACATCAGGCGGTGAGATTGAAAAAAGGCACTCACCCGTCTATCATCGCTCCCACGTCGTGTCATGCTGACAGTTCAGATGAGCTTACGCCCACAGACACACAAACTCCACACAAACACAGTCACCCACACTCAAACTCACACTTTGACACAAAGACATCGCCTGTGATATCTCTGCTCGGCCATCTGCACCAAGCAGCACGGCGGTGAAGCTGAATGAAAAGACGAAGTTGTCTGCATTGTTGAAGCTCAGTTCTTTATTGGACTGCAGGTAACAGTGAACCCATTTGCTGCTGAAGAACTTTTGGACCCGACTGTGATTTTTGCTCGTGACTGTGTTTTTCTCAACCTGCCAAATCCCACGTCGAATCAAATCCTCATTCCTCATCGGTCCAGGTGAAGAGACTGCAGTCCTTGCAATACAGCATGCTTTTCTAACATTTTTAAAAGAAGAAAAAACACAGCCGAGAGTTTAATATGGCAGCAACTTAATTCTCATTACAACGCAAAGTCTCAGTATGAACTTTCATGTCAGTGTTCTTAAAAGGGAATCAAACCAGTCAAAACTTCCATGACATTAATTAACCTGTTTGAATAGTCTTTTTTTTTAAAAGAAGAATTTTTCATTGGAGAAAATGACTTGTGTTCTTTGCTCAACATTTTTTAATTGCAGGAATACAAGGTTAAGCTGTAACATACATTATACTGGATGAAATAATGAGTCTCACAAAAATACTAAAGCTAAAGTAGAATTACATTTTAAATTTCAACAAACCACAACCTTTATAAGCTATTGTTATAATCCAGTTTGAAAAACACAAATTACAGATTTTCCACAGAAATTCACCAGAAATTCAAACAGCTCAGGCTTGTGATAAAAACCTGAGCTGGTTATTGGCAGCAGATGAATATGGGTGCTTTGTTGAATGACAGCAAACTGAATTGTACTGATAATCACATTAAAGGGATAGCTTGGATTTTTTTTTCTCTTAAAGTTACCCTTTGTAATAGTTCTCTTAACTTGCTGTAGACAGATACCATATCACAGTGAGTTTGTAGAAAAGTAAACAATGCATAGAAGGATACTTCCTACAGATGACATGAAGCCGAGAACAAAGTTATGCAGTTTTCATCACACCGGTGCGAAGGTGGGAACAGTTTGGCTGAACCATGTACAGCCGTTAAATGCCCTCATTTGGGTTGAGGATCAGCCTTTAATTTAAGAGAAACCTCACAACTCAGCATTCCTGCCATGTTCAAAGACAAAGTGCCTGTGCCTTAGCCATCAGCAGGTCATGACAATATGAATTCCTGACATAAACTGAGCTAAAACCCAGGTCTATGGCCAGATTGTGAATATTTAATGGCAGTCTTTTGATCAGCTGATGAACAGTTTTTCATAATTTGTTTACTCTGATTTTTTTTTCCACTTTTGCTCTTCTTTTTGAACTTAGAGCCTTGTAAAGATCAGCACAGATTGTGTAGATTCTGATCCAGTGTTCTGCATTGTATTTCACTGATTAAAGCAGTTTCAATGTGAGCATTTTAAATAGTTAAAAATCAGCAAAAACAGGGAGTGCCTGAGTAATTGTCAGTTATTCACTTATTTGGGAATTTGTTTTCTTTTCTACAAACTTACTGTGATATGACATCTTTCTACAACACCTGAGAACATCACAAAATATCACTTCATAAATCCAAACTATCCCTTTACAGCTGAAAGAGAAATGTTTTTGTTTTTTTTATATAATTACTTGCATAAGGGAATCACTTAATTGGGTTCTGTATAAATAAGGAACTAAATGTAAAAAAGTTGTATATTTACTCAAAGACTTTACAAAGCTTCCACCCAGTTCACTTGAGTTCACGCTGTTTCAGTTTAATGATGATATATCATCGTAACAAGACTACCATCTACGTTTCTTTTGTCTAGAAGTCGTCTAAGCGACATGAAGATTACTGCCAACATTTACTGACTCTTATCTTTTGGGACAAGGTGTGTTTCTGAACGACTTTTTTTTTTTCTTGTTAACCGAACTGTATAACAATCTCCTTGGTTCACTACAACTGATGTATGTTTTCTTTGAACTGACCAAATCCTGGAACTGGTCTTTCCCCCTTGGCTTTGAGGTAAATGGATCCCACAAAGTCAAGCAGGAGGTGGGAATTTGCACTTGTTCTTGGTGCGAGCGAGTAGTTCACTGCCGCCGGCATCCGCAGACTGGTGAGATGTTGGAGCGGTTGTTGACCTTGTCTGTCTCTAAATAGCACCTGGCTTGGGGGGGACCTGTGTAAATGATGTGTGTGTGCTGTAATACACACATCACGAGGGAAAAGGTCCTGGTAGAAGTGAGGAGAGGCTTGAAGCCCAGCGGCTCTGATCCTGGTGGTGGAGGCTGCAGGTCTGCTTGTGGTCCGTTTCACTCAGACAACTCGCTGGTATCTTTTGATTGAAATGCCATTGTTCCCTCCAGTTCCTCTCTCCTGTTATTTTTTGACGTGCATTTTGTCACTGCTGGACTCCAGCATCTCGCCAACAGTCTCCTTCCTTTCATCACCTCTCTTTCTGTTGGATCTTCTCCTATCCTCATCTCCTTTTCTCTCCCCTGCTAAGTCGACTGATACAAACCTTATATTGTTGTATAAAGCAGCGTTCTCTGGGTGCTGGTGCACACAGCTGTGTTGATTTTAACACCATGTTTTCCAGCTGAGAGTGAAATAAAGACAAACGCAAGTAAAACATGAGCCAAACATTAGATGCCTCATTAGTTTGCAGGCAATCCTTCTGTGTCACTGGCTGACCTCTTTAGTAATGCTTTTTTTACATCCCTCACTGCTGCATGTTATAAAGCTGTTGACACCATGTGAAATATTGTAAGAGTATTTAACTGCCCACACAGGTTTTATTTTTGCTCTTCGTTTGAATTGGCTGTACTCGTTTGAGCGGCGCCGAACAGCACAGCGCAGAGGGAGGCAGCTGGTTGTTTCACAACAGAAAGAGGCCACATCTGACATGCGAGTTCAAATCTGGCCTTAAGGTCTTTTACAAAGTCATATTTTTTTATTTGTTTCTAAATTGAAATCATGAACTGATGGTGAGCTCTTACTGCTGGGAGTGGACAAACTTTATGAACCTCAGTACATTATTTATTTTTTATTAAGATGTTGTACATTTAAGACACTACAAGTCTCGGAAGATTATTTTGTTGTTTTTTTGTTTATGCTTTTGCCTTATTTAAATGAATTGCCATAGGAACAGTTTTCTGAAAGCGTGTTGGGACTTACAGGTAAGGTAGCAGGCATGACTATAGTAAAGATTAAAAAGAAAATGATGATAATAATGTAAATGTTTCATGCTGTTCTAAACTTTGTTTCCTCAGTAATTATTATTTTTTAATTCCTGTAATAATTAGATCGAAATGTATATTTGTGCATAAATTATTGATATGTTGACGTTACTTTTATTTGTTTTGTGCTTAAAAGAATATATTATGATTCTTTAGTCTGTGTCTGTTAGTTGGGATTAAGGAAATTAAAACATGAAAGCAAATATATTTTTCACCTTTCAAGTTTCAAATGCAGTCAAAGGTCTGACCGATAACCAAAGCCTTTCAGGCCTTAGTGATTAAACAGAAAACAAAGAAACTCCATGTTGTTTTTGTTGTTGTTTACATCATCTTTGCTAAAGATTTATTTGAAATAGATAACTTTGCTGCTGTATTCCATCTAAAATACAGGTAGGTATCTATTAAAGCTGCTGTTTTAAGGACAATTGGGGAAATTAGTATTAAACATGCAAAAATTTTAATTATATATTTCTGATTTGAGTGTTGATGTGGAAACACACCATATGCCTGTAGTGACCCACAAAGTCGACCCATGTATCGCTTACTGTGATTTACTCTGCAATCAAATCTTGAAGGTTCATGGGACTTCTTCTCCAGTGGCGTTAAAAGGAACAGCAAACCAATTTATTTGTCAAATACAACACAAAATACTTTGTTTTTATATGAAGATATTTATTGAGGAATAAAAAAAAATCCATACCTTAATAGACCTGTGTGAAAATGTGATTAGGAGCAATCTACTTTCATGTGAATTGCTCCCAAAACCTGCAACAACTGCAGTCAAAAGTTCCCAATAACTTGCCATGAGTCTTATCGAGAAGAAATTTTGGCCCACTCATCTTTGCAGAATTGTAAGTACTCTTTATGTTTCCTGGCTTTTCAATTGGTTCCAGATGATTGACTGGGCCAGTCAGATGAAAAAGATATCAGCTTTGAAAAAGATATCAGCTTTATCTTTTTTATTTCAAACCAATTAAGACTGACTTCGTTTGTGGGATCATGGTCTTGATCCAGGAATCTGCCCTTATGTTGTCTTTATATTCTTAAAAAAAAAAATTCTTGTATATTTTTCCATTTTCTGTTCCATTTTGCTATATAAAGTTTGTCTCTACCATAAGGTAAAACGGTTTTCCCTAGACCATGATGTCCCCGAATCCAGCCAGTTTTAGTTGTAAGATGATGTGGTGTGCCATTTCTCTACCAAACATCCAAAGAGAACTCACCTAAGCAGACTCAAACCTCCCGGTGTTTGAAACCTTTTATAGACCAACACTTTGAACTAAACAATCTGATGGTAAATTGCACTTATAGGGAGCCACATTACATTGTACAGTAAATACTGACATATCTCAGTGTTTTTCTTTACTCTTTTCCTGTTTGCATCTTCTTTTCTTCATCTAATCTCTCTGTCATTCCACTTTATCACATACAACGTAATGTATGAAATTGTGCATTTCGATCTTCTTCTTGTTGGTTAGTTGGGTTGCTACCAACATCCAGTGTGTAATTTCATTTCACAGCTTTGTTAGAAATGTTTTTACTGAAGAAAACTTTGTGTTCAATACTTGTTTTCCCCACTGCAGATGAAATCAATGAACAGATTCATACTGTGAGCCTCTGAGCAGTTAGACTTGATACCTTTGACGAACAGCAATACATCCATGTGGATGAAGTTCATTCTAACATAATGTGGTCATTTGAACTGTTTTCAAACTGCACCTCTTCAATAGGAAGTTGATTAATGGATTCATCTGTGGCAAAGATACTTTGCTTTGTATGCATTCAGCTCAGTTTTTGTTCAACTCACTTTATATCACGGGCGTTTGTTCACGACAAGTGTTTTGTCAAAACATTTTTTGTCCACTGTGTCCTTATTGATAATATTTAATACAAATAAAATGAATAAAAGCCAAAAAAAAAAAGTAACTTTTTGTATCTACTTTTCATTGCATTATCAGCTATATGTGCAGAATGGCTTAGATGTCCTGAAGCAATAGGAAGCGGTTGCACAGTACATTCCTATTAAAAGGCGCACTTCAATAAAGCAGCAAATCTAAGGGACCTGCTTGAATGTATCAGGCAGCATAGACTTTACTGTACAAATCTCTAAAGGAAAGAATGAAGAAAGACTCAAAGCAATGAAAAGGAAATCTCAATGGCCATCGCTCCAACAGGCAGCCTTAGAGGAACTTTTTTTTTTTTAGTTGTTAGATATGAGAGGACTTAAAGAAAGATTTCATATCACAGTGGGTGCATACATAAGTTATTTCTACCACATTTAAAATAATCTCCTAAACTATTTAAATGTATTTCCATTTGGCAGTGACCGGAAAGTATGGAAGTATTTAGAAAATCAATTACATTAGCATGAGTTTGTGGGCGCACATGTGTGTGTTTGCTTGAGTGTGGGATGCAGACTCTGTTTACCCCTCAGGGAGGACCTGTGCATGCTTCTCGTTTCTGGACTCACTCAATTAGTGTTGATGTTCTGACTGGCTGGCACACACAGGATTCGAATACAGCAGGTCTCCTTCTAAGTTGCTGTAATTGATATGACAGAAGGTCAGCACATCGGCAAACACACCTCTGATTAACAGAGCTTTAAAAACACAGAAAGATCACCCAGTCAAGACAAATGTTTGTTTAGCTGATCGTAAATCCTTTCCCTGGTGTTAAGATTTGCATTTCTGGAATCATGCTGTTTGTAATTCTAGTAAAAGTAACTCACCGGTTTATTTGATGGCAGAAAATGAATCCTTAGGTAACACAATGCAAACAGATGAATCTAAGGACAGATTTATTTGTTCTTTTGGGGAAAAAGAATAATTCTTCATGATTAAGATGCTGCTAAAAGCTTTAATGGTTAGTGAATATAAATATGAGTCAAAGATGTTTCAGTGTTTCTTTATCTGTCTTTGCATAACAACACAGAGGAAATAAAATGCACACCAAGACGAGCTGGACTAAAGCAGAGCATTCTGGTGGGACTTCATCAGAGACCGCCGGCTGAATGCCAACGACACAGACTGACCTGTAATCTGAATGAATAAGTTGCTGATGGGAATGTTTCTGTCAAGTACGCAACATATTTAACCAGATGGCGGTTGTCTTTCAAAAAAATATTTTTCTAATGTATTTATAATGTGTTGTCTGAGGGGCTGATTTTTGTGTTGGTTTTGTTTTTTGACTCATTTTTGTGTCACTTTATGTTGTTCATGGTCTGTGTGTTCCTTCATAATGTTCATTTATGTAGCTGTTTCATTACGTGTTTCTGTCTCTTGGCCTTCTGCTCCCTTCATAAGTAATCTCCATCAGTCAACCAGTACAGAAATAACAAAGTTGTATTTATGGGGTTAAAGTGGAATGGCTTTTCTCTTTGTTCAGTTTCGGATTTATGCATCTCGATTCGTTATCTTTAAAAGTTCACACACCTTAATATGCATACACACTGAAACTCAGGGCTGCTTCAGCAGGTACATCTTTGCTGCTGTGATACAAGCTTATTAACGTAGCATTGCTACTGTGAAGGTGTAATAAATGACTGACAAAATATCAGTCAGTGGATATTAAAACAGAAAGTGGTGCCACCAGGAGTGATGTTTGTGTTTCAGGCTTATGACATAACAGGAGGCTTGTACCTGAAGATACCGCAGAAAGTCGCCCTGGCTCAGTATCTTCTGGTGAGTGTTTCTGCTGCTTGCTTTGGCTTACAGTGGCTGCAGTTTGAAGGTAGAGTCAGTATGTGTGTGTTTCGGGAACAGTGGGTGTTCCTGCCCGACTCGGAGCAGCGCTCCCAGCTGGTGCTGCCGCCGCCTGCCCACGTGGACTACAGAGCTGCTTGTTTCTGCCACCGTAACCTCATCGAAATCGGTTACGTCTGCTCTACCGCAGAAGCAAATATCTACAGCCAACCTTATTTAGACTTGTTTATTCAATGGCAAGGAAAGTACACAGTGCTCCTGGATTGGCTATTTTGCCATTATAGTCAACAGCATGAGAAGTCGCATTGCACCTTGGTATTTCAGCTTTCTAAGCTGCATTTTCAGCAGAAAATTTTATAATTTGGAGATATATTCCACAGCAAAAATATGAATGGGTGAATCTGCAAATACTGAATCTGGAATAGGCGGTGACTCATTGTATATCCCCCTAATGTATCCAATTTCTTGTCAGATTTTTCTCATATTTATGTTGCAATTGGTATTTACTGCTGCCTCCAGCTGGCCTGCTCATTTATATCAGTTCTGCTTAAAAACATTTTTAAGCAATATGATGTATCCTGCCTGATACATCATATATATGCAGTTAAGCAGAAAATGATTAATTGCCATGTTAGATAAATTGTTCAACAAAAAGCTTGTTTCTGATTGGAAATGACTCTGACGTTTTTCAAAAGACAAGAACGTACAAGAGTTATTATTTTAGACAAAAAATAATGAGCAAGAAAAGTTTTATTGGTATTTAAACAAACAAACCGTTCTTATATTTTCATTTGTTTGCCTTTCTCCATTGGCAGTTTCAATAATTTGAGATTCCTTGCCATTATCCTAATCTTTACCTCTTTCTCAGATTTTCGTGTCAGATTTAGGTTTTCTTCACGTTCTGCTCTCTCTCAGTGAGGTGTTTCCTGACACGTAGGTGAGATGAAAAATGTATTTATTTTAACTGTCATTTTATAAATGTTTGCTTATGGATCTAACCGTCCATTGGAATGTTTTTGGCTGGATCCCTCAGGATTGTTTCGTGTTGCACTGTTTTCTCAACCATCTTGATCAGTCATAGATGAAAATGTGTAGGTGTTTAATTAATATGCCAGCGATGACTCTGTTGCAAAATTGTATTCTGGCAACATGCCTAAAACCAAAAACATACAAAACTCATTAACATCTATTTTTCCTTAAAAGGAAAGAAAATGAATCAAGCGCTATCTGTTTTCAAAGATACTCTCCACTGTCTCTCTCTCTGTATATGGATTTGATAAATATCTGGTTGCTATATTTCCCTCCAAATAAAACTTCTCTAAGTAGAGGGATGAGAAAGCAGAATTGTTTACCCTAAAATGTTCAATATCAGATTTATACCCCAACGCTAATCTCATGTTCGGTGTTTAAACTTTGTACAGTACACATTTTGTGACATTTACAAGTTATTTCATCCTTTCCCCCTAAGCTTTCATTTCCAAGCTGGCCAGTATCGGAGAGGATGTACTGGATCCATTTGCCATCTGTCACTTGCTCACTCCTCTGCCTTTCCTCCCTATGTTTCTCACTGTCATTGTCTCTCTTTGCCTGTCTGAGTAAATCACTCTTGTTGTCTCTTCTAACTGTCCAAGGCTAACTTTATTATTGCATTAGATGGCCAAAAGGCTGTTATATCGCTCACTTTGCAGCAAAGGCAGATACACCAGCACCCAGCACAGCTTGCAGTCTGTCCCTTCTGGTACTCAGCCTTCCTTCTCTTCGGCCTGAAGTTACAGATCTCTCACTCTCTTGCTTGCACACATGCAGACACACTCACAAATCCCCCCTTACTGTAAAATCAGGCTTTTTTTTTATAGGTTCCAGGCATTTGCCAGTAAATTGGAGTGGGTAAAATAAACACAGATTCTAGAGAGGCTAACCCATAGCTTTTTCAAAGTCTGTACTGGGTAGTTTGTCCATTCAGTTAAAAAATAGAAACATATACAATATTCATTTCACACAGAGTGGTATGTTTCAGGCATTTACATCTGTTATGATAAGGGCTTACAGCTAATAAAAACCCAAAACATAGTTTCTCCCAAAATTAGATTAGCACATAAGACCAATAGGAAAAAAAAAATGCCGACATGTTGGACTGCTAAAAGGTACGTGATGAAATATTTTACAATGTTCTTGTACTTGACAGTAAACAAGTACAAGAACTGGAAGCAACATGGGTTCTGTGCCTCTCCACTCCTCCTCCAGAAGAGAAACTGTGACTTCCAAACAAAATGTAAACTTTACTTTCATCTGAGCAGAAGACTTCAAACCATTGAACAATAGCCCAGTTTAATCTTTTAAAGAAAAAAAAATCAAGCATATAAACATCACGGTTCTAAAATATGACCTATTACACATTAAGACATATATATTAAAAAATAAAACACAGTTTGAACTCACCCATGTTTTGTTTATATATTTATTTTAAACAACAAAACACACCCCATACCAACATTCAGTCAGCCAGCAAATCTCACCAGACCCAAAAAGTTGGGCCAACTAAAGTGCAAACAGCCAGCCAACGGATGCACATGCACCACAAACAAATCTGAAACTGCCAGCACCACCCAGACGGCCATGCCACAGCAGACCACCGAAGGGAAGAACGCCAACGCAGCAAACCGAAAAGCACCACAGAAAAGTCACAGCACACACCGTGAAAGAGGCAGCACCCACTCCCAGACCCGGAACCACCAGCATCCAGGCCAACCAAGCAGCGACTATAGAGCCAAACCAAGTAACAACCTCCCAGGCCAACACCACAGAAACAGCCATACCACTATTGCACCATGCATTTGAAGGGACACGTCTGTGATTTTGTGACTGGAAAGCAGCTTAACACTTTGGGCTTTTATGTTCCTTAAGCAGCATCTAATGCTTGGTCTTTGGGTGTATTGCTGCCATCATTTGTGCCCCTGAAGAAAATTGCATTGTAAGGAAATTATCAATGTTACTCTCCTCCACTGCCAGCACTTTTAATGTGATTTATTGGACTACATGTGCTCAACAAGGTTGAACAGAGGTTACTGTAACCCAGTGGCAAATAACATGCACGCTCTAAGATAAAGTTCTTCTGTACTTATCCTCAGATATTACAAAGTGTTACTTTTAGTCAAGGATTTAATTCATTCATTATTTTTAGAATTGCATTAAAAATAAGAATATATTTACAATATTCCTTATCGCTTAGGACAATGTAAGCAATTAATTTAGATTTCCTTAAGGGAGTCTCTCCAACTCTGAAATAGTGAGACATATAGGCAGTTTTCAGCTGCCTATATGTCTCACTAATTAAACCCTCACATCTGATTGGTGAACCTGCACAGTAACTCAGTTGCCGACCAATCGCATTTTCTCTACCCTGGTGAGTGACTGATTTGTATGGCTTACAGATAAAACAAACATCATGTGACCACGAAATTAAATTATGATATAATCATTTGTAAAAATTTAAAGTTTTAAAATGAAGGACTGCGAAGGGAGACCTAAAAGCTACAGTTTGGTAGCGTCCAATCAGCAGTATGAATGAAAAAAAAAGAAAAGATTTCAGAAAAGAAAAAGAATCGAACATCAAGACCTGAATGTAGCCTTGCTTGGTTATTGGTGAGATTACTTAGTAAGGTGTCCAATGCTCCCTCAAACCAAGCGCCAGGAAAATTGGTCAAACTATTTTTGTGTTCATTATGGGGATCTTCTAAACCACACTTCAAAGAAAAAAAATCGGAAGAAAATAATTAAAAATACAATTTTTTCACAATAAATGTGAACTCATTTTTTTTACTGATTATTTTAAGAATCATA